AGTAATAAAACCTCGTGGTTACTATGGCTTTTGATTTTTTATTTGTATTTGTATTATTTTATTTGTATGTTCCCATTTTGGCAAAAAAAATTTTATTAAATAAAGAAGGGGGGTCCTGTGGCCTTCTCATATTTTATTTTTACGTGATTTTGACCCTTTAGAGTCGCCCCTTCAGACCTGCAATGCAATTTGCGATTATTAATTAGTGGAAACTATTAAGTTAACTTCATTAATCTATGTTTTTAATATGCACTGATTAAATAATCAGAATTCTTATAAGTTTTTTTCCCGCTACTTAAATCATAGTAATAACCTGGTTCATCTTCGTCAGAAAAACCGCAATAATCTTCATCATCGTTATCATCAGAGAATTCATCATCATTATCATCAGAGAATTCACCATCGTTTTCATTATACTTATTGAATACATTTACAGTTTCTGGTTCCTTTGAAATCGATTTAGCAGATATGCTTACCTCAGTTTCTGGCAAAGATTTGATATTCTCATTTATCATAACTTCCGAATTATATGTATGAGACAACAAGATAGAGGGGTAGTTGTAATACTTACCTCTGTTTCTGATGAAATTCTTTTAGCTTTCTCATTAATCTCAGTTTCGAGTAAGTCATCAGAAGAATGATCGATGAATTCTATCACAGGGTTTTTAGTGAAATGATCAATAATCGTTTGAATCTGTAAATTAGTAAATCTTGAAATACTATCTGCAGTATAAGATTTGGTATACTGAATCTTATCCATTCCTATTTTCTCGAATAAGTTATAAACTCTTAATGCTTTTTGTATTTGCTTGCATAAGTTTTCACGCTTTGTGTTAGGAAGATGTTGAATAATAAAATCGTATACTTGTCCTTTTGCTTTTTTCTCACCAACTCTACCATTAGCCATAAAATCTTTAACCAAACCTTTAAACTTTTTAGCGTAGAAACACCAGCATAATATTTCTTCTTGATTGGCTTTAATAGCATCTTTTTCTGCATCACATGCATTTTGGTATAAACAAATGATATCTTGGTCTGAAGCGACTTCAGTCATATGATTTTGATGAATATTGTTCTGTGAAATTCTAGTTATATCATTCTGATCTTTAATGAATATTGAAATCTCTTGTATTAAACCTTGCTCCTTTTTCTGCTCGGGAGGAATACTAGATTTAATATTAGATATGTAAGTATCCTCTTTTGGAGAACTTTCAGTAGGTGGCCTATGTTGAAGCTTTTTTCTCTTATTTCGTTACGAATCTGTTCATTATGTTTTTCAATCAGAAAATTATCTATTTCCTTACCTTCTAATGATTTAGGCTTTACGTATATGGCTAATGTAGTCGAAGATAAATTGGAGACTCGAGATGAAGTTTCTTCTCGATATTCATCAGAATTTGAAGCATTATTAGTTATATCATTATCATCACATAGTAAATTTATATCTTCAAGAACATCATTAGAATTTACAGGATATGAATCAGAGATTTCAGGTTCTACATCTTGCGAAACATTAGTAATGATTTGATTGCACACCATACTCTTGTCTT